ATGCCATCCAGCCATCTCATCTTCTCTCATCCCCTTCTCCTCCATACCCCATTCCCTCCCAGCATCAGGGTCTTTTCCAGTGAGTCAGCTCTTCGCATCAGGTGGCCAAAGTATTGGAGTTTCAGCTTCAGCATCAGTCCTTCCAATGAACACCCAGGACTGACCTCCTTTAGGATGGACTGGTTGGATCTTCTTGCAGTCCAAGGGACTCTCAAGAGTTTTCTCCAACAAGACAGTTCAAAAGCATTGATTCTTTGGTGCTCAGCTTTCTTTATAGTCCAACTCTCACATCTATATATGACCACTGGAAAAACCATAGCATTGACTAATGGACCTTTGTTGGCAAAGTAATGTCTCTGCTTTTATCTAGGTTGGTCATAACTTTCCTTCCAAGGAGCAAGCATCTTCTAATTTCATGGCTTCAGTCACCATCTGCAGTGATTTTGGAGCCCAAAAAATAAAGTCTTTCACTGTTTCAATTGTTTCCCCATCTGTTTGCCATGAAGTGATGGGACCAGATGCCATGATGTTAGTTTTCTGAATGTTGAGTTTTAAGCCAACTTTTTCAACCGTATAGTGGCTCAATGTCTATACCCCGCATTCTATTCTCCATGAAGGAAGAACCATGTCTATCTTATTTACTATTATATTCCTGAACTTAGCGTTATTTCTGATATGTAGTTGATAATGTGTAAATATTTGCTGAATTGGTGAATCAGATTGTGGAATCTCCATGGAGACATTTCCCAAGTAATATTTCTAGCGGACGTGAAGGCCGTTAAAAGGTGGCAGTCAGATTCACAGTCATCTGTCTGCTGATGATAAAGTAAATGTCCTATAGGAGACATAAGTACTGGTTTTCATTACTGGAGAATAGAAAATAGCTTGAGTGAACTGAGCCAGATGGTCCATGAACAAGGCCTCAGAAATAAAACAGGGATGCTGAACTTGGGTGATCAAGAAATATTTCAAAAGTTATACATCAGGCTCAGTTCAGCTTTACACCAAGATCGAACTGTTTTCAGCAATTAATGCAAGTCACTTCACCTTTCTTTGCTTCCACAGTGTCTGCGTGCTCTACAGAATCTCAGGAGATAAACTAACTTGAACATTTCCCAGTTCACATCTTTTTCTCCCCTTTCTTTCCTCTATTTTTCTTCCCTTCTTTTCTTCACCTTGAATCTTTCATGACAAATACCTAAATCATATATGACTGAATGTTGAGGAGCGTTTCCTTTGGTCAGGGCTGATTTCCACCCCACTTCCCACAACCAAGGAAGATGACTATCCTCACTATGTAAGCAATAAGCTATGGCACTGTAAGTATTCAAGGTAAAAACGTTAGCTTGGTGGGAAAAAAGAAATTATGTAGCTGAGAAAACAGTGAGCAATATTCAGGATGGTTCAGAAAAATAAATTTCACATTTTATAGCATCTTATCACTTATAAAGTCCTTCCGCATTCAGTTTCTCCTGAGGCTGGCTTCAATCATAGCTAGGTAATTTTTACCAATGTGATAACTGAGGCAGAGAATTTCTGGCTCGAGGTCACAGAGTTAATAAAGCAATTATTGGAACCTAAATCTACATTTTTTTTTTCTTTTTTGCCTCCGTATGTCTTTGTAATTATCAGGTCTGGTTTCTCTATTACAAAGACAAGCAATAAGCCCAAAGGATTATTTGCAGGAGCTTCTGAATCAATGGAGCTCAAGTCTTACTCTACTCGGGAAACCTTCATCCTGCTGAGAGCTCTCTTCAGAGCCTCCTTCACTTCCTTGTTCCTCAGGCTGTAGATCAGTGGGTTCAGCATCGGGATGACCACAGTGTAAAATACTGACACAATCTTGTCCTCCCAGAGAGATTTTCCCATGTTACCCTTCAGGTATATGAATATGAGCGTCCCAAAGAAAAGAACCACTGCGGTTATGTGAGAAGCGCAGGTGGAGAAGGTCTTGGCTTTGCCACCAGCTGAACGAATCTTCAGAATGGCCCGAAGGATGAACAGGTAGGATATGAGAATCACTGAAACGCTGGTTGCAATCACCAAGAAAGCTAAAAGGTAGATCAGCCGTTCTCGTGGCCTGGTCTCACTGCAGGCAAGCTTCAGCAGAGGTGGGAGGTCACAGAAAAAGAAATCCACGTGGTTCGACTTACAGAAGGAGATGGAGAAGGTGCAGCCAGTGCGGACCACGGAGTTGACCGCGGCACCGCCGTACGCCCCGGCCACCAGCCCCAGGCGGGCCTGGGGCGTCATGGCCGAGGCGTAGAGGAGAGGTTTGCACACGGCCACGTAGCGGTCATAGGCCATCACGGCCAAAAGGAAGCACTCAGCACTGGCACAGAGGGTGAAGAAGAAGAACTGCGTGGCACAGCGCTCAAAGGTGATGGTGCCCTTATCGCTCCGCAAGGTCTCCAGCAGTTGAGGGACAATAACGGAGGCATAGCAAATGTCCAGGAAGGAGAGGTGGCTGAGGAAAAAGTACATGGGGGTCTGGAGGCGAGGGTCACTCTGAACCAGCGCCATCACGCCCAGGTTGCCTCCCAGGGTGATGAGATAAAGGAGCAGAAACACAAAGAAGAGACCCGTCTGCAGCTCGGCCCACAGCTGGAACCCCAGCAGAACGAATTCTGTTACCGCAGTGCCGTTCCCTGCCATGAGTCCTCGGCTGCCCCCTGAAATCAAAACAGAAAACCTCACTAAAGATAAATTAAGATGAACACGACTGGATCTGACCACTTGCAGCAAATCACTTTGCAGGTTTTGAATGATTTTATTTATTTTTGACCGCGCTGGGTCTTCGCTGCTGTGCGCGGCTCTCTCGCGGGGCGAGCCGGGGCTGCTGTCCAGTTGCGGCGCGTGGACTTCTCACCGCAGCGCCTTCCCTTGCTGTGAGCACCAGCTCTAGGGCGTGCGGGCTCAGTAAGTGACTAGCTCATGATTTCATAGTAAAGAGGCAAAACCAGAGCTAGAATGCAGCTTCATAGGCAATTCCCAACTGCTTTCAGTTCGGAACTGGAAACAGTCATCGGCCTCCCTAAAGAGTGAGGAGAAACCCTAGCGGCATAGCGCTGAGGACATGACCTTTGAAAACAGACTGTGGTTCCCATCTCTTGAGACCTTGGCGAAGTTAATTCATCTTTCTCAACCTTAGTCTCCTTGTTGGTTGAATGAGAATGTCAATGCTAAAGTCATGATATTACTGCAAAGGACACAACTGTATCTAACATTTGGTCTGACTCACACACTTAGAATTGTTTTTCTCTAAATTCTGCAACAATGTAACATGCTTCTAGGTTCATGTATATTCTGGAATCTTATCTCCAAGTCCACAGCCACTTGGAGTTCTAATATCAACTCTATCTTTCTCCGTGGCTGTTTTGATGTGCATATGAACCCAATAGAGTTGGATGCAAGACGGTGAGCTGTGAAGAACAAGAACTGCTAAAACTCCTACAAGCTGTTGCCCGCCAAGTCTTCTTCCTCTCTGCTTCTGCCAGGCGACATGCCCTGGTTTTCTCCTATTCCAAAGGAACTGTCCCATTATTTTAAAATGCCAGATCACTATCAATTGGTAAGAATCATGAATCAAGCCATTCCAGAATTAGCCTGCAGAGCTCCTCAAGGGACAGAGCCATCACGCTGAGTTCAGAATTCTAATGAAGACCGAGGGCTTGCCGAGTATGCAGACAATCTTGCTTCTGAACCTTTTGGATGCTCATCATCTGGGGTAATGGAAATTCTGAATGTGGACTTCAAAGGTGATTCTTTTTGTCCTCCCTGCATCCTTCAAGCAAGAACTGAATTTGAGAGAGCTCTCACAGGATTTTAGATAATGAAGAAAATAAAACTTGGGCCACTGTTTGGCAAAAGCTGATCTAATGATGAAATAAATGTCAGTATCTGGTATTTATCCCTTCCCACTGAAGTCCTACTAATGTAAATATTTAGGAGTTCTTTTCTTTCCTTAGGGCCCAACATAATATTGACTCTCAACCAAAACAATGACTTGCTGCGTTCTTGGAATTCACACAAATCATCTTGACCAAAAAGGGAAAAAAAGAGAGAGAGATTTATGCTCATTTATTTATTCAGTAAGAATCTGCTGAGAATTTACAATGCATGAGGCACTCTTCCGGTTGCCGGGAAGAAAACACAGACAGAGATCTTTCCCTTGTGAAGTGCTCGTTCTAGCAGAAGGGCCAGGCACACACAACATACATTTTAAAAAAGAACTATATTTTTTCACCATGATAGAAGACAAGTGCTATGAAACACGCGTGCACACACAGAGCTTTGGGAGACCCAAAGTACGGGGAGGAGTGTTATACAGGTTCATCAAGGAAGGTTCACTGAAAAGGTGACATTTCTGCAGAGGTGGTAGGGATTGGGGAGCTACCCTTGCTCATTTGCACACATCATTTATCCAGGAACACTAGGAAATGACGACACCAGCATGGACCACTTCGCTTCCATTACACAACATACAGAATCCTTCGGGTCCTTCTGAGACCCAAACACAACTTTGTTCAGAAGGGCCAACCTCCTAGCACAGAGAGAAACCCCTTAGGTATCAGAGGCTCGATAATCAGCCCGAGGTCACTCAAGGCAAAGGTAGACTAGAATAAAGCACAGTGGCGAGAGAAAGGGCCCAGAAGACAGACAGAGCTTGTTCCAGACTCAGCTGTTTCTATCTGTGTGACCTTGGGCGAGGTGTTTGACCTCTAGACTCTCAGACACAATATCTTTGCAATAGCAACAACAGCTCTGTGGTGCTGCAGCAGGCAGAAGAGATAATTCATGGAAATACACACGAGGGGCCTAGCACAGAGTAAGCACTCAGGTAATTGCTACAGAATGATTTTTCAGCCACTAGGTTGTTCTGCCATTCAGAAATTGAGTTTACCCCCATTTTATTACTGAGTAAAATGAGGCTCAACTGGTTAAACCAACCTTCCCAAGGCCACACCAGGACCTCTGGCTCTAAATTCACCAACTGACACATGACTCGTGATTCTGGCCCGGGAAGTGAGACGATAGCCCGGCTCCGGGCAGCCCCAGGCGGGAGGCGGGAGTCAGCTCCACCTCCTCCTACCACTCCCCAGAGAGACACTTGTAGATCTCCCCTGCGGGAGGGGAGCTGGTCTCCTTGGGAGTGGAGGGTCACGGTGGGCAGGGCCGCTGATTACGCTGAGCCAGCGAGCGTGCACGAGGGGAAGGTTGGGAGCAGCGTCTGGAGGCCTGCACGGATGCCTGCTGTCGGCCGCGAAGGTGGTGTGTGACCTCAAGCAGCTCTCTTCTCATCTCTGGATCTGTGTCCTCGTGTGACCAGACTGGACTCAATCATCTCGAGCCCTGCATCCTGTTCTATGGTGTGATGACCTCTCTTCTCTCCTAAAAGTCCCATGATGGAGGAAAAGGGCGTGTACTAACAGCAAGGAGGAAGAACGGCCTTCAAACCACAGTCACGCTGAGTGAGGTCTGTTCCAGGTGCTCTGCATACACTGCCTCATTGACCTTTTACAACGCCCCCGACACTGGAGACTGTTACTATCTTTACTTACAGACTGGGGAATAGAGGCTTGCAGAGATGAAGCAGTTTGGTTCAGGTAAAGCAGCGGACTCCCCTGGTCGCTCAGTGGCGAAGAGTCTGCCTGCCATTGCAGGAGACGCAGGTTTGATCCCTGGGGTCATGAAGATCCTGGGGAAGGAAAGAGTAACCCACTCCAGTATTCTTGTCTGGGAAATCCCACGAGCAGAGGAGCCTGGGGCTACAGTCCAGGGGGCAGCGAAAGAGTCAGACACAACTCAGATGCTAAACAACAACAAACCACAGGCTGGGATTTGAACCAAGGTCTACTGGACTTCAAGGTCATGCTGCCAACAGCTCACAAGGGCGGTAATGAGTTTCCATCTAGTGAGCACCTTTTCACCACAACCAGAACTTTCCACTGGCTTTACAAGCATTACTCCCTACATTTGGGCAAAGAGGAGAGTAACATGAATTAAATAAAAATTTTGGAAACTGACCACAACTCTGAAAACACTGCACACATTCTCCTTTTTGTAGTATCATCTTTATTGGCCCTGCCTCGTCTGCAGGGATGTGAGGAAGACCACGTGCCCAAGACCACCAGCAGAATTAAACTCCAATCAAGAACGTGCCACCACCAGGAACCGTCACCTCCAGCACAGGTTTAAGTGGCGAGGGAAAGGCCAAGTGACCAACCTTGGTCCTGGCTCCTCACCAGTTCCCACCTGTTCTTTTGCTTTGCCCAAGTCTCATTCCTTGTTTTTTATTTATTATCTCGCTACATGTCATGCATTTTTATAAGCCACTTTAAATCTCCTCTGGAAAGAGATATTGATGAATAAATAAATACAAAATAAAATCGCCTGTTTGCCAGAAGCCAAGCTCATCAGAAGCAGCAGCCATCAGACCAATAACAGTGCCGCCAGAGGCCTTTGCCAAATGGATTCTGGAGAGACAGTGCACTCGTCAGACCCATCTAAGGATGGTGGAGAAAGGCAGATGGTCAGGGGAGAAAACGGACAGCTCGGGGAGGCCTCCAGTCTGTGCTACTGCACTCAGCTCCTGAAATCTTCATAAACCCAGATTCAAGGGTAGTGACCTAGGACTGCATCTTGAAACCGTGAAAAGCATGGAGGGTCTCCTAATCCCTGATGTACTCTGTCTGTGTGTGTGTCTTTTTTTTAACTTTCTATTTTATATTGGAGTGTAGCTGATTATCAATGTTGTGTTCATTTCATATGTATAGCAAAGTGAGTCAGTTATACATATACAAGTACCTATTTTTCCTCTAATTGTTCTCCCATTTAGGTTGTTACATAACATCACGCAGAGTTCCCTGCGCTACACACCGGGTCATTTTGTTTATCCGTTTTAAATATAGCAGTGTGTACCTATCACTTAAGGATGATCCTTCTGAGCATCACGTACATCTACTTTTCAAGGGGCAGAGGAAAGTGTTAGAGAAAACCCAGGTTGGCAAGTGTTTGCTGATCTTCATAGGAGCCAGAAAGTTTGTTCTCTCCAAGACGAGTTCCACCTCGCCTTGTGATGCATTGTCTAAACTCCCGAACTGGTCTAAAAGGATTGATGATTCTAGACAGAATAGCCAATTGGTTTCCTAATGTTACGGCTGGAGAAAACCAACAGAAGCTGCACAAAATCTCTAGGCAGGGAGAAGAACCATGGATCACTGCAGCCTCAGAGGAAAGTATTTGGTCCCAGGCAATTTAGATAAACTAAGCTGCTGGGGAAATATGAGTGGAACAGGGAAGCAGCAGCTTCCTGCTTTTGGAGCCCACAATATAGCTGAAATTGCTGGGTTTTAAGGATGCACAGTAAGAAAAGGCATCCTTAAAGCCATCATAAACCCACCACGCTCCATGGTACTGAGCAACGTCAGCACTGCACGTTCTGAGTGATCTGTTATCTATTTGTTGCTGGGCACAGAAATATCTCACTTCCAGACACTTCCTGGGGGACCACGAACTCTAGGTTATCTTTCCCCCACATTAGTCATGTCTGCTCAAGACTCACATCTTCATTTTTATACTGGCCAACTCACCCGGGCTTCCCCGGCGGCTCAGTGGCAAGAGGACCTGCCTGCCAATGCTAGAGACGTAGGTGAGGAAATAGCAGCCCACTCCGGTATTCTCGCCCGAGAAATCCCATGGACAGAGGAGCTTGGCTGTCTGCAGTCCATGGGGTCGCAAAAGAGCCGGACATGACTTAGCTACCGAACAGCAGCAAAAAGACACAGCCAGGACATCTAATCCACACATCCCAGAGCTGACGGAGACAGACCTCCATACTGACTGCTCTCTGCGATTACTAACCTCCCCCAAACCACCACTAATCTCAGAGTACTAATAAGGGGTTTTGAAGCAAAGACGCCCAGCAGGTTTTGGTGTTTAATATACTGGACTAGTAGCCAAGAGGCTACTATGGGCTAATCGAGAAAATATATGGGAAGCTGATTCTCAAAGTAATAAGTCTCACTTGGAAAGGATTGTTAGCAGGGCCCAGATGCCAGCTTTACAAGAGCTCACACTGTGGAAAATACAGAGCCGTGGATCTGAAGACTATTTATATAGCTCAGCAAAACTAAACCACTTAGATCCTCCAAGTCAGGGTTAAAGTGATTTTAAAAGGGTAAGATAAAAAGGTTGTACAATGTGCCTAAATTTATGCAGCCATTGCTCTCAGCTGGAAATATGCAACTAAGGTTTCTAAAGGATCTTCCTTTGTATTCTATGCCAAGCAGTATGCTGTCCACTGGGGTTGCAGTGATGAACATACAGAACTAAACAAACATTAGGTGATAATGATCTTCCCTGGGCCACTAGAATACAGCTGGCATCATCTGCTTGTGGTAACTTCATAGGAAAAAGGAATAAAGGAATGAGGCACAAGACAATTTGCCACTCACGGTGTCAGCGAGGACTTGGGTCTTAAGGATGTTTAAGTGGTGGGAGGAAAAGAAACTTAACTGCTTCCTGCACCAACACTCTGTGTCCAGGTAAAAGGTAGCTCAATCTAGAGATGAAAAGGGACTATTTAAGAGCTCCCCTTTGTCTCAGAAATTTGTTTGGAAGAAAACTTTAATTGGCCATTTTCTAGTTGAATTTAAACTTATACATAGGAAAGTAATCTCCAGCAAACCTCACTGAAAAATAGGGCAGAACCAGCATGGTGTCGTGGAATTAGAATGCTTTGAAGTTCTATCACACTGGGCTCAAGTCCCAGCCAGTCATGTAAATTATCTGAATTTCAGTTGTGTCATGTATAAGATGGACAGGATTAACACCCAAGTCACAGGAATGCTTGAGGCTGCAATTAAAGGCATGCGTTCTCAACAAAGACTGGTTCTGCTGCATGCCATGAAAAGCGTGAACACCCCTTCCCCAAATGACAGGCGACTTTCGTGATCCCTGCCTTTAAAACCCTGTCCTTCCATGATCCCATCTGATCTTCACACAGCCCATTTTGAGGGGAGGCCATTGGGATTTGGAGAGGTCACCAGACTTGTGCAGAGGTCACATAGCTAGGAAGAAAAGCAGCCAGAACTAAGAATCCCTCCACCTCACCTCCCAGTCCCTCAGCACGGCGGCCATAGGGATACAGGTACCCCCCCACACCCCAAAGGTGGGACGTTAGGGGCCGTAGACAGGAGATCTGGAAAGTGGAAATCTCGAGTTCTCCCTCACTCTGTGATCCTGCAGTCAACTTCTAGAATGCTACACACATTCACTCCAAACACTGACCTCAAATCTCTCACACTTCATCACTGCCTGCTCTCTCTGCCACTTCTGCTCCCTGGACGGAAAGTGCAGTCAACGCTTGGAGATTACAGGATTCTCTGATGGTCACAGCTCTGCCTTTTGGACTTCAGACAGATGGAGCAGAGGTGAGGAAAAGAGATCCGGAGACGAAGGGGGCCTTGCCAAGAAGCGAACACCAGTGGAAAATTCTGGGAGTGACAGGTCTCCTGCAGCCTGGTGAGACACTCTTTCTACTGTCTGGACTGCACCTCCTTTTCCGAATCCTAGCTTTTCTGTGTCCCAGAGCAACTCAAGCCTTCTGCCTCTTGGAGAGTGATGAGAATAGATGAGCCGACCCCAGCAAAGGGGGATGGGAGGGGAGAGGCGTTCTGATGATGGGGAATACCTGGCTAGAACCAGTCCTGCAGCCCTGGGTGGGGTTTTTTCACCTTCTAACCCCCTCAGGGCTTCTTCCCTGGTGGCTCAGATGGTAAAGAATCTGCCTGCAATGCAGGAGACCCAGGTTCGATCCCTGGGTCAGGAAGGTCCCCTAGAGAAGGGGATGGCAACACACTCCAGCACTCTTGCCTGGAGAGTTCCATGGACAGAGGAGCCTGGTGGGCTTCAGTCCATGGGGTCACAAAGAGGTGGACGTGACTGAGCAACTAACACTTTCACTTTCAACCTCCTTAGAGCTTCTCCAAAAATCAGCACCCAGTTGATCAGTCCTGAAAGAAAGACCTCAATTGTCTATGCTTTAGGTCAGGAAGATCCCCTGGAGAAGGGAATGGCTACCCACCGCAGTCCTCTGGCCTGGAGAATCCCATGGACAGAGGAGCCTGGAGGGCTACAGTCCAAGGGGTCGCAAAGAGTCAGACACAACTGAATGATTCATGGACCCTAGTCTGAAAGAATCTGAGATTTCCCTCTGACCCACAGCAGAAATCCCACATAGGGCATCTCTGATGGCTGACCTTTGAGCTAA